CTCTGCAAACTAATATACGTATATGGTTTTTCTTCTATGTGTGGGTCATCATAGTGTGCGTTTTTCCGCCGCCTTAATGTCCGTTCGAATTTATTATCAGCAAGGTGGCGAGCAGAGGGACTGGGATATGGCCAGGGTCCACGACGGCGTAAATATACTGATTTTCAATACTAGTAGGAAAAAACTTGTGTTCGTCAGGCAATTCCGTCCAACGCATTTCTATACGACTCTTTCGGAAACAGGTGGGCTTGAGAAATAAATAACAGGTTGACCTTGAGAAATATTCGCCCAAATTAGGCCTGACCTTGGAAAACTGCACTGGCATCATGGACAAGGATAAGTCTTTAGTCGAGATTGCAAGAGACGAACTCAAGGAAGAATGCGGTTACGAAGCACCGGCAGAGACCATTAAACTTATTAATACTTTTGGATGTGTTAATGTTATGGTTCCGCATGTGATGCAATATAATTACATTTTTCAGATTTTTCATACTAAAATTTGTTACAGATGCACGACTTCTTCACTGTATAAAAACACACTTTTTTATGTAGAAGTCACAGACGAAATGCGCACTCATCCTGATAAGCTTACTGTTAGGTATAAATATAATTTAAGTATACATAGCTTGATTCTAGAATGATTTTAAATACGTTGCAATGACTATGGTACGAAATATTAAATTTATAGTGCTGAATAAAATACATGAAAAGAGACTTCTCAAGTTTCTCATCCTATAATGCAATTTGTTAAATTGAAGGAGGGGGCATTGCTTCTGCAGGTGAATTAATTGAAATAGTGGAAATGAGTATCCCTAAATTAGAACAAAACATAAATTTCAAGGAAGTTCAAAGTCCTCAAAGTTTTCTCTATGGTGCTACCTGGTTTCTCTTTAACGAACTTTTGAGCACTGCTCTTAACACACGCTCTAATTCCGCTAAACATTGTTTGGAATAAGTACTAATGAAGTATAGTAAATAAAATATATATCCTTTATTAGATATATATATATAT